ATTTTTTCTATCTACTCCAAACGTTTTTAATTGACCAGTATATCTATATAAAGCAGTGATTACGTAATTTAAAAAGTGGATACATTAGGAAGCATGCATCGTTGAACTAAGTGGCTGATTTTGAACTTAGACAAATTACAAGGTTGAATAAAAAGGTGTTAGTCCTGAAATAATTTATGAAAAATGCAGTTATAAAAAAAGGAAAGATGACATGGATAATCAAGTGTGAGAACAATTACGTAATAGCTAGTCCCGAGATTCAACTCAAATGACCTCATATAGATGTGTTACTGAGAAAATATTAGGCTGGAAACTAAGTTTTGCAACTGGTTTCATAACTTCACTCTCTTTGGATATGGCGCATTCAAACTTTGGCATTATGTAGAAGGCAATGTGAGCTACAAGTGAGCGCAAATTGTCTAAACTTTGAACACAAATAAAAAAGTTCCAGGCGTTTTTCGAAAACTAGTAAAATTTGAGAATTTTTGGGTTTTCAAGCTAAAATGAAGCCTTTGGCAGCCTAGACCATGTGCAGTAATTCGGTTTCGTCTATAAATTATTGCTGGGGTTTGACTCCTTTGGCCTAATAAGAAAGAAACAAAATTTAGGGCCATGTCGAGATTTGGCGTCCTCATAAAGTCGGACGAGTCGATGTACGCAAGAGCTGCTGGGGACGACCGTCAATGACTAAAGAGTCTAAAGCTCAAATTCCGCCGGCACTTTACATAGTAAGGTTATTTGACCTGCCAAACGCGAATATCACATTTATCTGTTGAATCAACGCCTTTTTCCTTGTTTAGGGTGAGACCTCATATCGTACACCTACAGTAATCCTATAAAAAAGTCCTTATCACGCAATTTCACTATCGTTTTCGTGATCAGCATGTCGGATATCACCCCTATGCCAAGTTTCAGCCAAATCCGTCAAACTTTGCATTTTTCCCCTTCGTACCATGCACCTACCGTAACCCTCACTGCGACGTTAGAATTTGGTAGGACAGCAGCTGCGCTTGTAGCTTACGTAATAACCAACGAAGAGGCATAATTTGAGTGCGCCATGTTGAGTGAGAGGGAAGTTATAAGACAAGTTGCAAAACTTAGTTTCCAACCTAATACTAACACGGGAAGTACCCGAGTGGCCGTGGCCTTTTGATATGAGATGCATATCGTCTGAAGCAGCTTCGAACGCTGATTTCAAATCTGCTTTCCGTTTCTGCGGACGTTCTTCTGAAGAGAGTTATGGAAGCCTGAAAATCCTATTTTGGAGGCGCTCCTTGAGTTTGAGAGCGCTGCTATGTGCGTTGGTGGTGCAGTGGTGTAATGGTTAGTTGTTGGCATTGAAGGCGAAAGGTCACTGGTTCGAATCCGGTGCAGGGCGAACCGTTTTGCATTATGAATGTGAGTTTAAAAAGCACTCTAATTCGTCTGCAGACACTTACTGTAATGCATTGGCATAAGTGACGTTGAAAATGAATTTTCTGGCAAAACTGCTTGTAATGAGAGTCTGAAATTCTATTTGACTTCCTTACTAGGAAAACAGGACCAAACATGGCCTAGCACGTTTGTCACCACATGAAGCTCAAAAAATGCACACTGTCATTAGTCGAAAAGATGTTCTCTTTTGTTTGTGCTAAGGCATTACAGTAAGTGTCTGCAAACGATTTAGAGTGCTTTTTAAACTCACATTCATAATGCAAAACGGTTCGTTTTGCACCGGATTCGAACCAGTGACCTTTCGCCTTCAATGCCAACAACTAACCATTACACCACTGCACCACCAACGCACATAGCAGCGCTCTCAAACTCAAGGAGCGCTCCAAAATAGGATTTTCAGGCTTCCATAACTCTCTTCAGAAGAACGTTCCGCAGAAACGGAAAGCAGATTTGAAATCAGCGTTCGAAGCTGCTTCAGCTGATATGCATCTCATATCAAAAGGCCACGGCCACTCGGGGTACTTCCCTTGTAAGTTGATCTGATTGTTCGCGGAAAGTATGTTTTCTTTGAAGCTGAAATTATGCGTTTTGCAGTGATACTTTTGCCGTGAATTATTATGCGAGAGTGAGCCACAAATGAAGAAAATCTCAAAACTGCATTTTCCTAGCAACGTCAGTATTACTAAATGGTCGCAGGAGGAAATCTAAAAAGCAGTTGCTATTTTGCTATAAAGTAATTTCATGTTATATGAGAGCACATTCTCAAAATTCACTTTTTCGCCTTAGAAATGCTAATCTGAATAGCCGTCTACAATTTGTTCTAACTCGCGTATTTTATCATATAAGGTACAGCTGTAAAGAGCGTGATTTGTGCCAAAAAGGTTTTTACAAAAAAAATTTCATCAAAATTAGGCTGATGGAAAAAGGTGCGAAGGAACTCTCGGACCAACTAGGCTATATGCTTTTTAATTTTATACAATCCAATAGTTCATCACAATTCTTTGACGCCAGTACAGCCTATCGTTATCCTTTTATTCCGTGCACATAAATTCGGAATAGATTCGCATCTTCCACTGAAACTCGCACATCAAGGAGATTGCCTTTTCTCATGTAGGCGTCCAGACTGGCATTATTCACCTACATGCACTTTCCTTTTGTTCAAGAACATCTCAGTGTTTTCTGGTCGCCATCATTTGATCACACTTTTCATTTTGATCTGGAATTTTATAATTCAGCACCTAGACATTTTCAACAGGAAAATTTCACTGGATTCAAAATTTCTCATGGGGGTAGTAAACCTATAATTTTTTCGCGCTACTCTGAAAGTAAAGGTATGGGTAATTGATATAACCTGTTCAATGATCGGTGAAGAATGAGTTTACAGTCTGTTTCATCCTAAACTTTTTTCAAATGACAATCGCCACACCATTTTTGAGGAATAATAAGCTTGTGCACTTGTGTACTCATTTACTATGATCTAGAAGACGCTAAGCTTACTCCATTTATCCTATAAAACTCTAAATTCTATCTGATTAGAAAATAAAGAGATTATAAGTGAGGAAATAGGCTGAGACACACATGTATTATCCAAATTTCATTAATTTGCTTGAAGACTGATCATTCAAACAACGAAGTTAGTACCTCACTTTTCTAGCGTTTTACCAAGATGACCAGGAGGCCATTCAAGCTCGAATGAAATTAAATTTAGATTTTCAGGCAGTCCAAGTTTTTTCAGACAATAAAGGAAATGAAAGAAAGGATCTAGAGGAAGTTTCCTGATCTGTAGAAAATTTTCTTCTCACACTAGCGTCAAATTGAACACGACGTCAGCAACACCTGTTCAACCTTAGTTTCTATGAAAGACGTTTGAATTTTGAGCTAAAGCGTTATGGTTAACCTAAAACTCGCAATTTAAGTGTTGAATAGAGTATTTCAACGCATTTCTATTATTTTATGACAGATTGCCAGTCACACCCGACCAAAGTGTCACACCTGGTTAAACAAAAAACGCCGTGAACCCATCAATTTTGCATCCTCGTCCTGTTCATGCATCTTATCGTCCTCCTTATTTTTCCACTCTTTTCCCATATCTACTTTTTACGCTCTCCTTTACTCGCTTATTAGGATATTCTTTTTATATTGCTTATTCAACGAGTCCATATCTCCAATGACACTGGGAAATTTGACTGAAATCTTCTAGCTGAAATACCATATAAAGCACCTCTAAAAAACTTGAGTATAAGGAAAATTACCGATTGTTTTTTGCTAAATCGCATCAATAACCATCCTTACGAACTTCTTAGAAAATCTTCAGAATTCATTAGAAATCATGGCTAATACATTGAGCAAATTTTCGATTTTAAAGAAAATTGCCATTTGTTTTTTGTCAACTCGGTTAATCCAATGAAATTCCCTAGAAAATCTTCAGTTTAGTTTGAAATCATAACCAAAATTTCAAACTAACTTTCGAATACTTGTCTTTGCCCAACATCGCAAAAACACTGATTTCGCTATTGTTATTCGTAAAAGATTTTTAAAAAGGTGTATTTTGATAAATCAAATCTCATAGAGATTGTACTCGAGAGCAATCTAGCGTTCGCAATTCAAACTTTTGTGTTTATCAGTTTCCCTATCTATAACCGTTTTCATTGCTATTTTCTACTTATTGTTGTTATTATTCTCCATTTCTGGTATCTGATCATTTTTGATGGGTATCTTTTGTCTATTCTTGCACTTGTATGGAAAAAACCAGACTCGATTATTTTTTTCCTCCTTCGCGCACGAGCAGTAATTCACCAAGCACATGTGCAGCTTAATTAGCATTCCAATCACCTAAGTAGTTACTAGAAAAAAGCTGGACAACTGCCATAAGAACGTTTTACTAAGAGCCTGCCCTGCTCTTCGTAAGCTCTCAGCAATTTCAAATTCTCGATTCATTTTTTTGACAGCGTGAAAGAATTGGTCCATTTCAGAATTGCATAGTTTTCTTGATAGGGCATTGTTAGTGGAAGCAAGCTTTTGGCTCACGTAAACGGCCTATTTTTGTAAAAGTCTATTTCCTTAATCTTTTTTAAAGTTCTCCGTTTCTATACAAATTGTCTTATATCCGATCAACTATTGCGGGCTGAAAAATTTCTTGTTAAAAGGGGAGGGGGTGGGGCAGAGTGAAAGAGAACAATTTTTTCAAGTAAAGGGCGCGGTATGATCTTTGTTAGATTTTTGAGAAGTTTTCGGCTTTCTGCGGTTTTCCAACCAATCTTAGAAAAATTTTCTGTTTCAAGCCCATGTTATATTTTTGCGGAAGGCGTAGAATTCGGTTTTTCGCCAAGATACTTGGATAAAATTTTACCTTATGCAGACCGTATTAGAAATTTTCCTGACTAGGCCACGACCCCCTTCCCCTTCCCCGTTTTCTCCCTTCCCATCTGCCAGAACTGTTAACCTGTCTATTGAGTCTTAAATTTTCTATATAATTTTCCTTGAATTTCTCGTTGTTATTCACTTGCAATCAAGCGCCGTCCGTTTACTTTCTCATCAAAACGTTTGAATTGAAAATATTCAATTTCAGCGATCTACCTCGTCTAAACGATAAATTAGTGACCATGGAGAAGAAAACTCCAACACCACCAGTTATGACGGTAAGTTTTGTTACCGGTTATGCAAACTGGTAATTTATCTACACATTTCTTTCATGATTTTTTTCGACCTTTGCTACTTTCTTAGACGTTTTTTACAGTGTTATTTATGATCATGTTCTATATCCTCTTTTTCTCATATTCTTCGACAACTGAATGTATTGAGAGCAGGGCTCGGCACGAGCTGACACCAGCGAAATTTCAAAACGAAGTCCCGTTTGATATTGAAAATTTCGTACAAAGTCCCTTTTGACCTGTTTTGAAAACCAGTCATCATTTTTATATTATGTAAAAAATGTAGTAGTGTTTTCATACATTTCTGTTTCCTTGAAAGAACTTTTCACAGCTTTCTGAGCTTTTTAAGTGGTCGAATCACATCTTGAGAAGCAGAAAAAGCCGATTTTTCGACTGCGGAGCGGACCGAGTGGTTTTCAAATTGCTATAAAACGCTGAAAAGAGAACATTATGAAACTGTTTCTTCTCGTATGTAATCTTTTACAGTGTAGATACATTTTATGTAAAAAAGTATGAAAACTTATGTGAGCAAAGTGTCGGTGCCAGCTCAGCTGGCACCCAGCTGGCACGGTGCCAGCTAATTCAGAAAAAAGTTCGGTACAGCTTTTATTCACATAAGTTTTTATAAATTTTTGGCCCGTAGTTCCGGTCCACCAACGCGCATGCGCACACCAAATTTGGTATCACACTACTGCGTTTTGGCTGAAAACAACGCCTTTGTTGGTTGATGGACAGCTTGCCAATGGCATGCCGGTGGCATGCCGGCAGCATTTTTGCGGCAGTTCTCCGCCTCGGCCCCTGTAGAATCCCCTTTGCTTTCCGCCCTAAAAACGATATCCAGCTTGACCCGGTGCCAGCTGTGCTGAGCCCTGATTGAGAGGAATCCTTTCGGGCAATGCGTATAAATTTTTCATTCATATACATAGTCATTAGTTTCTAGTTCGGAAGAATTAGGTACTATTATGGCCGTACGAGCAGGTATTCCGGGTTTCACTCCGGTTTGGAGCAGTCTATCAGTCTAAACTCCCCATCCTGCACTGCACGCCTGCACACCCTGCACACCCTGCACGTCCTGTACATCCTACACTACTGGGAATGAAAACTCACAAATTATCTGTTTTATATATAAAGAGATTGTATTGCTAGTTTCTGAAGGTTCTCGAGAACGTGATCATAGTTCTTTTGAACTCAAGTTTACTGGCTATTTATGCCAGTTTTCGAATTTGCAGTGACCTATCCAAAGTTCGGCACAAGGTGGCTTTTGGAATATGCAAAAAACAAAGTCCCTTTTGACTTCAAACCCTAAACGTAAAGAACCCTCAAAAAACGAAAAGTCGACTAGAAAGACTTCACAATTTTTGTGTCTTTTCGGCCTCGGAAACGATACCGCCTTTGCTTTTTGTCACAAAAACGATATACAGCTTGCTTACAACTTAGCTTCCTCTTCAAGCCACCTGTACCGCGTCCTGGACCTATCGCTTTAAAAAAACACCATCTTTAGTAACAAAATTGCTCCTGTCCTCTTCTAGTACATACAAGCGGTATTCTCAAGATTTGTAATAAGTGCACTTTAACACGTTGACGACAGCGTGCATTTTTAGCTGTCTGCCCTGTGGGACAGTCCCATTTACAGTAAGTTGATTATTTTTAACTGAAATCAAACTGGCCGTCATCTGCAGTATCCCTACAGTGATTTTGAGAAGCAGCTAAAAAACTCGGAAGTAATTCCTAGGAATAAAGCATAATAGAACTTCTGAAACCACGGCCTCGCATGACCCACCATGTGGGTCACATTGTCGTCAATGTGTTAATAATGGTTCTTCTTGCTCGAGAATGTATCAGCTTCGAAGGAATTGATATGCAGAGTATGTAAATCGATCATCACGACAAGGCATTAGCGTTTATGATCTTGCAAAAGTATCTCCATGTAAATTCTCCCCATACTATGTTAATTTGAAGCCCTATAGTTACTGTTCGTACGATTTTATTTTACAGGTTTCCATCTTTCTTTTTTACCTTTTTTTTCTTCTTTTGTAGGCGAATGAAAGTAGCTAATATAACTGAAGAAAGCTATATTTTTGAAGACAAAATAAGTTGCACTGCTTATAGATTTGTTTTGACATTATATAATAGATAGCTTTTACACATAAAGCTGGCAACGGGCACCATAATGGGCCTTTCACACTTTTTTTATGGTCAGAAAGGGATACAGGAGAGAGGAAGGGTATGGAAGGAATATCTTGCAGTTGTATATGGTAGATGGATTCTATTTTTTTATAGCGTGTGAAAATACATCAAGGCATCCTCTGCCAAAGAACATTTGCAACATTCACTCCTTACAATTGGGTGTGGAGAGAAAGAGATTGAAATATATCATTATATTGTAATATAGTCACAACGAAAATTATCAGCTTTCGTTTCCATGAAAATTTCAAAATCGATGAACGCAAAGAGTTGAGTGCGCTCTTACCGCAAAACAGTACTTTGAAGTAGAGAAACATTCAAATAAATCACGGCCGACAGCCTGACATATCGACAAGTTTTCGCGAAAAAAAGTCTGCAACGCTATACAGTGTAAACCAAACTTTGTGCTTTATCCTATCTATTTGTTTACCTTTGCTTCTACCTGCTTTGCAAAATACCTGGCAATTCCTCTGTTTCTTAATCTTATCTTCATTCTGTTTTTCTCTCTTCAGCAGTCTTCTTGAATGGTGCTAATATATCATTTCTTTCCCGCTTTGAAAAAATAAGAGAAGGTATAATCGCTTTTAACAAAGAGATCTCTTAGATCTATATAAAGTTCAAATCCACAGCTCTTGCGTTTATCAGCCGAAATCAAATAACATTCATGTATAGATGTTCAGCACACTTTCTAATCAGAAGAGACTGTAGATTTATTCACCAAAAGCCCTTGTTTACATTATAGCTTAATTATATTTTTTTGAAATGAGTACCTAAATTTATGGTAAAATTTTGCTCATATACCCAATTACTTGATCTTATATAGGCCCAATGTCTGTTGAGCATTTTCTAGCGTTTTCAAACAAATTTGGAAACTTAATTGTTTACAGAATTTGTCCCATGGTGGCCAGCACTCTTTGATTCAATTGGATTGGCGGTTGGAAGGCGGGGCTTCGTAACCTAATTAAGGTTAGATAATGATTAGAGAGTACGCGCGCGAGAGACACGCAGACTGCGTTGCGGCGCAACTGCATTAATTAGGCCACGACCCGCCTTCCAGCAGCCAATCCAGTTAAGATCCATCTTTGAAGCGAAAAAAATTGCACTTCGATTAGGCATTGTTAGTAAAAATAAAAAAGTTTAGAAGAAGCAAAATATATATTTTGAAGCATCCCAATTATTTTCTGTAGCTTTCCCGCTGCAAACGACTTGCCCCTATCTGATTATTTATGTCTAAAGCGACGTTTTTTTTACTCACTTATGTTGAGCCAAAAAATTGCTTTAGGGGAGGGAGGAAGGAAATTTCTTTGAAGAAAAGGGTCCGGAATCACTTATCTACGTGCTTCGAAATTTGGCTTGCAACCTTGTAATCACGTTTTGGGAAAATATTTGCTGTTACAGAATAAATTTGAATTCTTACGAAATGCACATGATTTGCTTACTTACCGGAAAAAAGCAAGCAACTTGCATTGATGTACACCTCATTTGTACCTATTCAAAATTGTAAAAGCTACTTATAATTGCTTACAATTCAAAAGCTGTTTATAATCATTGAAAAAAGTCGGTCTTTTTTCTACCTTTGCACACCTTTTTGCAAAAAAACCTATTCGAGACTAACATAAGCCTGCTTTTGGAAACTTTATTCGCAAGGTTCGTTTATGGTTCTTCTTTTGAATGATGGGCAGGTTCTAGAGTCTATGACTTTTCATATGAAATACGTCAGCATATCTACCCATTCTTTCTGCTACGGTACATTAACTTTTAGTCGCTTTGCAGTGATTCATTGCTATTGAAACTCCTCCTTATGGTGGTTTCCACGACCATAAATTCAACCGTAATTTTAGGTTGGTTCAGAGCTCATTTTTTCGAAACATATTATTTGCCCAGAAAAAAGGAGGAAAGTCATATGGGCAAATTATTGCCCTGCATTTTTGGGTATCCAAGAGTAACCAGGCATTCCAAACCATTTGATTTCAAGCTTTCATTTTCAATAGGCGATTATGCAGTTCACGTGCATGCTTGCCATTGTTTGGAAATCAAACGTGAATCTTACAAAATCTCTGCAAGATCCCATCAACTAGAGCAAGCTGCTTGGTTTGCTTTTCTTTGGTTTTGATCAAGTGGGCAGGCAATTTAGTAACAAAGGATCTTCGGGCTGCTAGAGCTCTTCACCCCGGTCTTGTGTCTTCTTTCTGAACATTGATAACATCTCAAACCTCTCAACGAATTTCAGACTTCTTTCCACTTTCTCATAAAGGAAATTGAGCTTCTCACGTTATACATACTATCAGTGCTCTCTCTCACTTATCTTGGCACTGTTTCGTTTACTGAAATAGTGAAATTTCTCCCACCAGTAGATTTTAGGCATAATTTCAAAAAAGCGGTCAAATTTTTGGCATTTCAAGTAGTACTAATGAATGGGTAAGCTTATTCTGACTATCTAGCAATAAACAATGGAGCAACAACCTTGAATTATTTGCCATTTAAATGCTAGCCCACCTGTATCCGTCATCTCTCGGTGACGCAAAAGTATGTGGCAGTATACGTAAGAAACGACAAACTAACAATCAAATAATTAGTTTGCGGTGAAGATATGTAGATTGCCCCTACTTGCTACCGTAATCAGAGCAGTATCAAAGTATTTCTTGACTGTTCACATTTACAGCTGGTGTTTTTACCCTTCAAACGGTGTTTTTATCTTTCACCTCTATTCTTTCTGCAGTAGAAATAAAGATGGCATCGGATAGAGCAAAAAAGCCAATGAAAGACAGAATTGCATGATGTACTAGGGTCTAATATCTTGCGGT